TGAGTCACAGGCCCTCCCCTCTCATGGAGCGGAGGCACCCATCAGGCAAGAGGTAAGGGCCTCCTCCAAGGAAAGCCCAGACCAGAGCAACAGGAAGTGGGCAAGACCTCAAGGAAACCATTCCAACTAAGAGTAGAGAATTTCTGACCATCCATTTAGAAGGCCAGCCTGACAAAAAGAAGGAGAAGTATGACACACCCAGATGCTGTAGGTGGGTGTTAAGGTTGGATCGCTTCTCTCAAAATCTTCTGGACTGTGAACACCCAGGCTGTGTGCAGGGCAGGTGACAGTGCGGTGACTAAGAACCCAGTCTCTGGCATTACACCAACTTGGGTTCAAATTACTCACTGAGCTTGGCAAAAATAACTACCATTTATTGAGCGCTTACTATGTGCCAGACACTGTGCTAAATGCTTACATGCGTTATCTCATAAAATCCTCACAACAATCCCAAGAGGGAGGTGCTACTCTCAGACCCCACCAGGCTGGAGTTACACCTAGTAACCTGCCCAAACCTAGGGTCATCTGAGCCCAAAGTCTATCTCCTTAACCACGGAGATCAGCCTGTCATGGTGCCTCAGTTTCCTTATCTATAAATTGGGGGTAATAATACCTAATCAAAGGTTGTTTTCTGGATTAAAGGGGATAATGTATGTAAACCCTTAACACTATACCTGGCACATATTAAGCACTATGACTATTATTGCAATTATTATTAATAAACACACTGCTGGCATCTTATTGGCTCAAGAATAAAAAGGAGCCTTGGCAGATAGGCATTTGGTGGAGAGAGGGAGGAGATGGGACAGGGTCTTCAAACGTCCAATAGATTTGAAACCCACTGGCCATAAAGTCCCAGATGCCCCATATTCTGCCCCCTAGTCTCATAAATCACACACATGTTCTACAAACCCCAACACTTCAGCATCCGAAGTATACCTCCCAAACTGCCCCCACAGCTGTGATCTTTTTACCCTTGAAAACACAGTCCACATACAAACAGGTGAAAGTCTCAATCAGGAGACAACCCCAGGTAAGAACAGCCTCTACCCAGCTGAGAGCCCAGGTAAGTAAGGTCACTGCTGGCCCACCTGAAAGGGGGAGTGGCAGGGCAGAGCCAGGAGGAACAGAAAGACAGGGTCACTGTCTGGTGGAACAAGCAGTCAGTGGCTGGGACTGTTCCTCGCTGAGAAGAGGGCCGCCTTCTGCAAGGATGTGGGTGAGCAGAGTCCAGGACCAAGAGGAGGTGGGCCTAGAAGAGACCTTCCACTCATCATCACTTGGTCCAAAGAGCAGCACCTTCTACACATCAGGCCATCAGGTCTTAACCCAACAAGGGAAACCAAGTCAAGCAGTGGGAGTGGCAAATGTCTTCAAAAACTGGAAACTTGGGCAACTGTGTGGAGAGTGATCAAGGGAAAGAGAAGCTCGTTTTGGCCAAGAAAGGACAGGATAATGAGACTCTGCCCAAGAGTTAGCCCCTCTCCCACGAAGCTGCTGGTTTGTTCCAGCTGCTCCTTCAGAGCCCCTGCTGCAGACAAGCACCGTCGAGTCTGCCCACAGCTTACGTCTTGTGATGTCTAGACATCCACCTGGACATCCTCCTCTTAGCCCTTCCTCCCCTCCCTGACTTTGGAAGAACAGTAACCGTGGGTCCAAGTGAAACCACCCGCCTCCCCACTCCACCTGCTACTCAGGCACATCCCCAGAACGGGAAAGGAAGGTGGGCACAGAGTTAGTCTGAAACACCGAGACGGTACCGAAGATATTATGGATGTAGGAGGAGGTTCCAGAAATGATGGATCACATCTGGTAGAGTAATGAAAAGCTACTTGCTTAGAAATTGACCTAGGGCAGACTCCTTACAGAGCAAGGCCATTGTTGAGTTCTCTGAGCAGGGACGCACTTTGCCCTGAGTCCTTCACATCCTCCGCTGCCCACCCCCATCAACATCGGGGGTGCCTCTGAGCCTGCTGGGGACTCATGGACACTGTGAAGATCTGAACCCCAGGATCCATTCAGATCAGCCTCCAGCCCACTCAGCAACTAGCTTAGATTCAAATCAGGGTCTGTTTAATCTCCTTTAAAATAGAGTATGCAGGAAGATTCCAAAAATATAAGTCAAGTTACAGGAAAAGAAGCCCAGTGGGAAAAAAATAAATACCATGAAAATGGCTCCAAAGCCCACTTGTGTAAGATGAAATGTTACATTTCACCCCTTCTAAAAGTGAAAGAGACACTAACTTCAGGCATACATTATAGAACTATAGAAATAAAGAATAAACACTGAGAATAAATACATTTTAAATATAATTATACTGTAGCTACTAATATGCTCAGAATATGAAACAGGCAAAAAATAATAAACACAAACAAGACCCAGGCTGCCTTAGGGCGTTTCACGCTCAGAAGCAAAACATACATGTGTACTTTGTCAATGCTGAGGGTGGTTAAGCAGGTGGCAAGCACTTGTAAGAGGAAAAGACTCAGGTGTCCTGTGAGTAGTCATGAGGGCTCACCAGGGAGGATGCTCAGGCCCAGCCCTCTACAGACGCTCCCTGGTTTCCATGACACCCTTGCTCATTGGCTCCCCCTGTAAACTCCAACCTGGTGCACAGGTGGAGGGCGAGGACCGGATGCTGCAGAATTCCCGGCACCCTTAACACCACTTTCACAACAGCAAGTGGGGCTAGGGATGATCCCTGTCTTGTCGAGCAGAGTGCAAGGTGGAGCGAGGCTTGCCTCTCCCACGTGACCCTGGGGAAGCGCTTTCGCTGCTCTGGCCCTCAGCGTCCTCACGTCCTCACCAGTAAGGTGCTCAGGACTCCTGCCTGAGGCGCCTCAGAAGGCCACTGTGAGAAAGGAGAAGAATCGGAGCAGAAAACAAAAGTCTCTAAACCAGGACTGCATGATATTTATGATGCAAAAACAAGTGGCAAACATCAAACCATGCATGGAAGGGAGAAACTGAAGTCACAAGGAAGAGCACACAGTTTGTCACATTTTATTTCTCACACACACAAAAATGGATCTGAAGCAAGTTATGCCATTCATGAAGATCTGCAGAGGGGTATGTTAAAACAGTCTCTTGCATCTTGTCTGTGTGGTGAAATATCTCAATAAATGGGAGAAAGAAAAACACTGTGTGTAAATAGAAACATGAGGTGGCTTTACTTGCCTGGCTACTAGGCTAGGAAATTCCTCTTCCTTGACCAGAAAGCAAGTGGGGAAAATAGAAGATAAAACCCAAGCTGACCCTCTGGGCTTCCTGCTTAGAGCTCTAGTGAGCATCCAGCTTCAGTCTCCCAGGACCCCAGAGCTCCCCTCGGCGACCACCTCCACAAAGGATTGTGCCAGGCACGCCGATCCCAAAGACGGCCTTATTCAAGGGCCGCTGGGCCCCAGCCATCAAGGCCTCCACTGTATGCCCAGAATAAGGCAACAGAGACAACCCCTTCTGTCTCTGGTTTCAGCAACCAAGTCCATCCTTCAATGTGAAAACTAGATGTGTTACTAATGACCTCCACTGTTTAAGATTTGTTGGTGAGATACTGAGTCATCTCAAGGACAAGCATTTAGAAACGGCCTGAAAGCTCTTGCTGTTTGGGTGCCCAGGACACGACTCAATACTGGAATTAGGGAGCACTCAGAAAACAAGGACCCAGAGAGGGATGTGTCTTGCCCAGGGTCACACAGCCAGAATGGAAACCCCACGCAAAAACACATTTTGTTCTTAAGGGGCCCTCAGCCCTGAACCAGAAAAGCCACATGCTGAAATGGAATTACAAGCTCAGGGGGGAGAAGATGCTTCAGTGCTGCACAGGTGGGGCGAGCCACGCAGTGACCATGAGCTGCAACGTCGAGGGGCCTGCCACCCTGCACTGGACATGGCAGTGAGCTGAGCTGACTGTGAGCTTTGAGGGAAGGAGAACGGCTGATTTAAACAAAAACAGAATGAACCAGGATCAGACCAAGGTGCTGAAGCAAGTCACCGCACCCTCATTTGGCAAGGAGAACCACCATGTCACAGAATAACTGAACGCATCTGGGCACCAAGTTCTCTCTCCTATCCTCCCTTGCTTGTTGTCCTGACAAAGAACTTATCTCCCCAAAGTCAACCTCGCTCCTATTATCAGGCCGGGGGGGGGGGGGGCGGTGTCACAGTGTAAAAGAAAAAAGGTCCCGTCAATAAAATACAATCTACATTTAAACCGGTCACATTATATATATAAATATATAAAATGTGCATGTAATCTTCAGAATAGTCACACCTCTAATAGGGTTAAGTTTCCGGAGTTGTAAGCAGAATTTTGTGGTTTCAGTGAAGAAGTCATGGTACAACTGAAATCACTGTAAGGAGTAAGAGATTTTTAAAACCCACGCACAGATACACACTTGCCTTAAGAGTAGTATATACAGCACACAGCAGCTACAGGGGTGGTCGGTCAGGTCAGGCAAAGGGTGCGTGAACCAGAAGCCCCCTGCTCCCTGCCTAACAGGAGAGCCCCCCGGAAGGATTCAGCAGCAACAAGTCTACAGCACAAACATGAACGGTATCTTCCCTGAAAAGACAGTTAGCTGGACTGCCCAAGAGGAGCCACTTGAGCCGACAACCTGTGGGAAAGGGCTCGTGACAGTACATTCTATTGCATACACTTGAAATACTACAGTGTATTTTTTCAGACTATTATAAATAATTTCTCGCGCTTCCTGAAAAAAAAAAAAATACTGAAGCCTTCTTTCAGTCTGTGATGAAGGAAGGTGAACCCATATCATAAAGCAGAGCTCACGCTCCACAGGACTTTGTGGGTAGGATGTTTATCTAATTAATCAGCCTTTGTCCCTCCAGCCTACAGAAGGCAACTGTCCCATCGCTCCAGGGCAGGGATTCTCGAGAAGCCCAGGTGAAAGCTCTCCAGTAGCAAAGACATCCAAGCGGTGCACTTCTTCCCAGCTGGGGGGGGTGGGGTGGGGGGGGGGGGAGGTGGGCAGCTACAAAGACAGGCCAGGGGGTGCCCCTGAACTGGTCAGCCACAGATAGACATTCACTCTCTGAGCGAGCCCAGCAACAGAAACTCTAGCTTGAGAGTAAGAAGAACCAAGCAGATGTACCCCAGCTGGGCAACACTGTCTTCCACGTTAAAACTTTTGTTTAAAAAACCCGAATGGTCTGACCCCCATGACTTCTTTCCAACTCAAAGCTGTAGTTTACCCACGACCCAAATCATAAGCACATAGACTGTATATACAGATTGTTTTGAAAACCCACAAATAAAAAACACTCTACCAAAAAAAAAAAAAAAAAAAAGACAGTGAGTTGAAGCCTTGTCATTGACTGAGTCACACCAGTGGGGCTTTGCCTTGGAGCCCAGCCCCTCGCTCCATTTGCTCTTGCTGTCTCGGCCCCGGGGCCCCTACTCATCCTCTGTGGCGGCTGTCAGCATCCCCTTGTCGGCCAGGTGAGATCTGAGTGTGTTGAAGATGTGCAGCTGTTGATCTGGACGCAAGGTCAGGAACTGCTGAATCAGCTTGCTTGGGTTGGGGCCCCTGGAAGAGAATGTGAGGAAACAGCGCTGAGCGGGGATCCAGCAGCTTCTAGGGCCTGATTATCCAAACGGCTACTGTTCTCTCTGGATTCCCTACTCGTGGAGGGCTGGGGGACCCTCAGAGAATCCAGAGAGAGTAGCAACTGAAAACCATATTCATGTTTGGGATGCTTTTCACTCCCACTGATTTGTAGCTAAAATCTAGAATTTCACCACATTTAAAAATTCCACCAACTTGGTTCAGATGGAAAGGCACTGTACCTGATAAAACTGGCAATGTACACGTTGACAAAGGTGGCCATCAGGTACTGGCAGTCAAAGCGATCCATGATGCCTCCGTGGCCAGGAATGGTGTTGGCAAAGTCCTGTTAGAGGCAGGGGCAGGGCTGGTGAGCCCGGGCTAGGCCAACCCCAAACCCTGGACTATGGTCCCACCTCAGGGACCAGCTACTGTCCTGAGTAGCTAAGGGCTACAGAAAGTAAGTATTGGTTCAAATGCTGAGGGTATAATAGGACACCATCTTATGATAAAATGTTTCTTTTGAAGCAAGATACAAGATATATGAACAATAAACTGAAAATCCAACTACAGTTGACCCTTGAACAACAGGGGTTTGAACTGTACGGGTCCACCTATACATGAATTTTTTTCAGTAAATACAGTACAGTGATGTAAATGTATTTTCTTTCTAATTTTCTTAATCACATTTTTTCCCTCTAGCTTATTTTATTGTAAGAATACAGTCTATCCTATGTATAACATACAAAATATGTGTTAATCAACTGTTTGTTATCAGTAATTCTTCCGGTCAACAATTATACGTGAATTTTCTACCGCATGGGAGGACGGGGGCAGGGGAAGGGATCAGCACATTGTTCAAGGGTCAACTATACTGAATTTTCTTGGAAACAATGTTGTTATTGTTTTTGAGAGAGAGAGAGAGAGAGGGAAAGAGAGCGTGAGCGTGATGGAGTCGGGGGGGAGCGGAGGAGCAGAGAAAGAGAGAATCTTAAGCAGGCTCCATGCCCAGTGCGGAGACTGACGTGGGGCTTGATCTCAGGACTCTGAGATCATGACCTGAGCTGAAATCAAGAGTTGGACATTTGGGGCGCCTGGGTGGCTCAGTCGTTAAGCGTCTGCCTTCGGCTCAGGTCATGATCCCAGGGTCCTGGGATTGAGACCCACATTGGGCTCCCTGCTCCGTGGGAAGCCTGCTTCTCTCTCTCCCACTCCCCCTGCTTGTGTTCCCTCTCTCGCTGTGTCTCTCTCTGTCAAATAAATAAATAAAATCTTAAAAAAAAAAAAAAGAGTTGGATGTTAACAGACTGAGCCACCCAGGTGCCCCAGAAACAATGTACTTTAAATTAACCAGCCTTGGGGCGCCTGGGTGGCTCAGTCGTTAAGCGTCTGCCTTCGGCTCAGGTCGTGATCCCAGGGTCCTGGGATCGAGCCCCGCGTCGGGCTCCCTGCTCAGCGGGAAGCCTGCTTCTCCCTCTCCCACTACCCCTTCTGTGTTCCCTCTCTTGCTGTCTCTGTCAAAAAAATAAACAAAATCTTTAAAAATAAAATAAAAATAAATAAATTAAGCAGCCTAAATACCCCCCGTGGGTGAAGAAGAGCACACATTAGTAGTCAGGGTTTATAGCCTGGTATTTTGAAGGAGGTGCTAGTTGAAGCGGTGGGACAGGAGGAGACCAGGCTGGGCAACAGTGAGAGGAACAGAAAAGAGGGTTTCCTACTTTGATTTTAAAGGCTCGTTTGAATCCACTTGCAAAGAACCCTCCAAAGGGGCCGATGAGCGAGGCAAACGTGGAGAGGGCGATGCTGTGAATCTGGAAAGGGTACATCCAGACTGTTGTCTGAGAAGAATAAATGAGATCAGTCAAGATGCCTTGTTAACATAAATAACTCTTTATGAAATGAACTCTATTTTCCCTCCAAAAACAAAATCAGTAAGAAAACTGGATTTTGAAAGAAAAAAAAAAAGAAAACAGGATTTTGTTTGTAAATCTCTAATGCTCAGTTTAATAGAGGACATTCAGTATTACGCATTCAGTCTGTTGCAATATGATGTTTTAGTTGACATATGTGGAGAAAATCCAGCCTTACATAAATTAAGTGGCTGAAAAAAGGAAGAGTATTTTAGCAACCTCTTTTCAGATAATTATGAGCATTCTTCTCTGACACTACACCAGAACTTGACAAATGGTAGTTTCTTAAAAATTTGGTGCAGTGTGGAATTTGAGATCCTATGAATGAACTTTTTGTGCTCTTAACATTAAAATCCGTTGGTGTGTCTTGCACTTTGAATGGCTCTTTGACCCACACCTGACAGGTGTTAACATCATGCACTGGCCATTTAGAAAATGAAGGTTCACCAAGTTATATAAGTTTTCCAAGTGTAGACACAGTTTGCTATATACAATGTCAAAACATCCTATGTTAAAATCATCATATGTTAAAATCACTATAAAAATCACACACAAAAAAATCACTGCAGCTCTCATCCACAAAGCTTTGAAGTATTAGGAAGCTGTCAAGCTCCAGTGGCAGGTATATGCTTTCCAAAATACTAATGTTCACTTGGAAGCCAAATTCTATCATCGGTAACAATCACTGTCAGGTGTTTTCCTTGAAGTGACAGGCTTACTTCATTCCTTTTCAAGAAAAATGTTTGTCAAATACACAAGGCTGAAAAACTATAGTTTCTCAGTTCTTTTCAAGTAAAAAGTATGTCCCTATAAAAAAGCAGCTAGGTCAGCTCATAACTCAAACAGGTGCACATGTGCTTTCCCTTCGGTGAGCACTGGACTTCTGTATTTGGCAGAAATGTTCTAGGCATACTTTCCATTTGGGTACACAAGAGTATAGACAGATATGTATTCAAGGGTCAGGATTTAATTAAATGAATCATGTTACGGTTTCATCAAAGACACTCTCAAGAGGAGCTGGCTTATTCTTACTGCGAGTGTGTGGCATGAAGAATCCCATGACTTAGTCCAGTTTGCTGCCACTGCCTTCACTCGCGCTAGAGCATCAGCGAGCTTACCCACCACTGCTTTTGCACCATTCACAGCAAATGTCAACAAAGTAAAAAAAAAGGCAAATAGTGTCATTATATTATGATGAAAATAACTGTGACCAAACAGGCCCCCTGCAAGGATCTCAGGGTTCCCCAGGGACCCACAGAGCACAGTTTGAGAACCACTGGTCTAAAGGAACCTCAGTGAGATGAAAGGTCTCCCTCTGCCCTCACCCTTACCTGACTTGAACAAGTCTCCTCTATCCTGGGGCCTGCGCATTGTGGAGGGAGGAAGCTAGGTTTTTTTGAGGGAGTGGCAGTGGTAGAGAGAGGGTTCTCTCTGTAGTCACTACCTAACCAGGGGTAGCTTGCCCGACGTGAGCAGCACATACCAAGCCAATGACCGACTGGATCACCTCAGGGATGCTGTACTCCTGCAGACGAAAGAGGTCCGAGGGCTCACAGTCCACAGTGAAGCTGTTGGTGTCATTGTTGTATTCCACAGGGCAGACAAAGCATCTGTACCCGGACATCACATAGGACAGCTGAGGACAAAGAGCAAAGTCGGGAAGAAGAGACAAGTCCCAGCCAGCCTGCCCAAGCGGCACCCATTGGGTTCGGCTGGGTCCCTCACAGTGCCTAGCACCCTGCTAACTGCGAGCTGGGCACTAAATCAGAGGTTCATGTTTCCCCACATGAGTATTTTGCCTGAATTCGGAAAAGGATTTAAAAAGAGGTTCATGGCCTGCTGAGGCTTTACACAGAGTTGCCCAAACACCCAGGTCGAAATCCAGGAAAGACCTGAAGGAATTTGGGCAAAGAACTACAAGAAGATTCTCCCCATTTAGGGGAGCTACGGTCCCTTTTTCTCAGGACCTCTTAATTTCATTTGAACTAGAGGCAGGTTGTCAGGAAGTGGTACACTGAGAGACAGCCAGCCCGGAGGAAGAAGATGGAAGAGCAATGAAGTAAGGGTATCAGTACTGGAGGACGGCTGGACACCCCTGAAAAAGGAGAGAGGCTGGCCGGATGGTCAGAAGCAGGGAATGCTCCAGAAAGGGTGGGAAGATCATCCTCTTCCCACAGGGCACGCATGGGAGAGAACCTCGGCCGGAGTGGCATAGCTCACCTCATCTCCTACTCTCAGCTGCCAATCACTCAACCTTGAAATATCAAATGCGTGGACGAGAACGCTACCTGCTGAGTGTCACCATGCCTTGGCATGAGGGGAGTGCAGGTGCACATGGCCCTGCTCCTCAGCTGCCAAGACCCTGTTGAAAACTGGCAGATCAAGGACAGCTGGCTCTGCCCGGGCCAATTACAGAGCATGCCATGCTCATGCCCCTCAGAGGGGCAACGTTACCAATCAGCGGGACAGAGTCCTGGGCCTCAGGAAACAAGCTCTCTAGCCCTGGACAAGCTTTGAAGGGGGGTGTGAGGTCTCTGTCCACTCCCCCACCCAGCAGGGAACCACCACCTACCAGAAGGCCAAACACCACAGTAGCAAAGAAGCCCCCAATGAAGCCTTCCCAGGTCTTCTTCGGGGACAGCTATGGACAGAAAGCAAATTCTTAACAAAGGGCATTTTGACAACTGGCTTTGGAAACAATGATTACTTGTTTAAAACCTTCCTACTATTTAAAAAAAAAAAAAAAAAAAGACCCACCTCATTCTGTTAACCTCCTCTCCTAAAACAGCCCTGTGCTTGGTGTTCTTGTTCCTGGCCTGATACCCATCAGTTTCCATTCTGTCCCAATTAGTCATTCAAATAGTTTAATTATATTATAAAATAGTATACTAATTAAATGACAACACTCAAATTCAGATTGCGCCCCAAAAATGTGCCTATGTAGTCTATAAAGATATTTTCTCTGTTAGCTTTTTTTTTTTTGGTTTATGAATAGTTGTCTTCCTTTGGCTTTTCTCTTAAAACTAAGTTATTGCCAGACTTTCTCTGGGATGACATGAAGACATTCACACAAGCTAGATACTTCTTCTGTCCCAAGCTGATCTACTTGTACGGAAAGCACTACCCTTCCCTCACAGTGGTATTTCATGTTAGGGTGACCCATTTACCTTAATGAGTGGGGTCCGACCAAAGAAGAAGCCAAACATATAGGCCATAATGTCATTACAGATCACACAAGAGATGGGGACAATGAACCTAGGGAATAAACCAAAGTAACAATCAACTCTCCCCAGATGACAATACCTCAGATGTCAACAAAACAACGCCATTCATCAATTCCAGTACCAAAATAATCCGTAGGTACTTGTTATCCATGAAGGAATAAGCTAGAAAGAAAGAAAATACCAGACAAGCCATACCTAGTACCTGGCACACAGCAGGCATTCAAATCTTTACTGAATGGCTCCTGAATAAATGGAGGTGGGGTTCTACAAAATGCCATTTGTTTTTTGTTGTTGTTGTTGTTACAAAGTAATATATATGCACGTGGTAATACAAATCTGAACTGTAAAGAAGAGGAAGTTTTCCTTGTCTCCCTGTCCCTATCTCCATTCCCCCAAAATAACCACCTTTACTCATTCCTATTTCATGTCTATTTCATAATTTACCTACTTTTTTGGTGAATGGCTTATGACTAGCTCTCGTGACACTCCCTCTCCCTAGGGCTACGCTGAGCGCAGAACCACAACCCACACAGCTAGCTATCTTGTTGACCCCCCCCACCCCCACCTGCTGATCCCTACCATGAAAAAGGAGGCCATTTCCACACTTGTATCCTGCTCTCCTCACTCTCCACTCTCTAACCATCACTTTTTTAAAATGTCCTCTATTTAAAGTTCTGTATTTAACATAATATACATAAATCTCTGGCTTCCTGACCCATCAACTGGAGGCAATATTTTCTGTCTGTTAAGGGAGCATCTGTATCCTCCCAACCCCGCACATTATTTACTTGATCGAGACTTCTAGCACATATTCTCTGCTCTTCATATTTTCTACACCCACAATTAAACCCTGTAGGTTGAGCATGAAAAGCAATAACCAGAGATTTTAATATGATTCACTGTAGAGCCACGTGGCATGTTTGGCCCTGAAGATAAGGACTTATCATGAGCCATTCCTTAGAATTACCTAACAAAAACTGAAAGAAAGGGAAAGATTGCGTGCCTCCCCAGGCCATTATTATCATTGTTTTAAACGTAATAATGCCCAAGGCCAACATTTTTATGAGCTAGTCTCTGTCCCAAGCACTTTACTTATATTTACTAATTTATTCCTCAGGAGGTGGGTATTACTATACCCTCAGTCTGAGATCTGGGAACAGAAGCACAGTCTGGGGTCTTAAGCATAACACTTCAGTACCTCTTATATAAACTAGGATACGCCTTCACCTTTCACCAAGATCATCTAGCTTCCTCAGTCAGCCTGCTGATTTCCATAAATGCTGACAGATTTCCTGCTGAAACCACTGCATTTCTGGAATAAAATTTACTAAGTAATGGGCATATGGTTCTTTTGACACTTTGTCGGGATTCTATTTGCTAATAGTTTATTTACAATGGTTTATCTGTAATCATTACAGAAAATCAGTTTAACATTCTTCTTTCTACCTCCCTAAGCTTATTAGCTTTAGTATGAAGGGGTAGATAAAACTCTGCTATTATCATTGGTTGTTTTTTCCCAGGTGTGGATTCTTTAGGCGATTTTTAAAGTTCCTCCACAGTTAGTGATCTTTTCAAGTTTTCTTCTTCATGACTTTTGGTAGTTTACATTTTACCAGATCATGACATTTTCCTTTAGTTTTGCAAACCTGTTGCTATACAGTTGCACTGTCTTTGATTCTTTAATTATCCATTACTTGTTAGTCTAGAACATCGATTCTCAAAGTATAGGTCCTGACCAGCAGCAGCAGCATCACCTGGGAATGTACGAGAAATTCAAATTCTCATTACTGAGTCTACTGAAGCAGAAACTCATAAGTGAGGCCCAGTGATCTGTGTTGTAACCAGCCCTGCAGACGATTTTGATGTAGCTCAAGGTGAGAACCCCCGGCTTAGAAGGCAAGCAGGGGTTCTCAGTCTACCTGGACATGAGAAAACCCACAAAATAAAAGGGAAATCTCCCTCACTGACATCACTCACCAGATCATTCCTTCAAACAGGTTGTGGATAACGAGATGTGACTGAGTTACAACAATCAGTAATGTTACATGGGTCCAGCCAAACTGCAAAAGAAGATCAAGAATACATTTGACCTGGGGTGCATGGGTGGCTCAGTTGGTTAAGCGTCTGCCTCCAGCTCAGGTCATGATCCCAGGGTCCTGGGATTGAGCCCTGCATTGGGCTCCCTGCTCAGGGGGAACCCTGCTTCTCCCTCTCCCACTCCCCCTGCTTGTGTTCCCTCTCTCGCTGTGTCTCTCTGTCGAATAAATAAAGTCTTCAAAAAAAAAAAAATCTGTTATACTGAAAGGAACTTCAGATAACAGCCAATAACAAATAGAAAATTGCTTAAAAAAAAAACAAAACAAAAAAACACCAAAAACAGAAAATATGTCTGCTTCTGTACCTGTCTTATTGGAAGTAAAAAGGTACAGAACAGGCATTTGGGATTAACTTTGCCTCCAGCTACAATTACCACCAAAAGTAGGGACCACAGGGCCCACTAGTGAGCAAGTCCCTCTACGCTCTGAAAGCCTGGCTACGTCTCATTTTCTCCATAAATGTTAATTGCGTGCTGGGGCACCTGGGTGGCTCAGTCGGTTAAGTGCCTGCCTTTGGCTCAGGTCATGATCTCAGGGTCCTGGGATTGAGCCCCACGTTGGGCTCCCTGCTCAGTGGGGAGTCTGCTTGTCCTTCTCCCTCTGTTCTTTCTCTCCCTCTCTCAAGTAAATAAAATCTTTTTAAAAAAAATGTTACTTGAGTGCTTGGGACACTCAGTGAGGGGTTGTTTTCAAGTTGAGGGAGAGATGTAGCAGGTAGGATATCTGTGGGCATTGCCTGAAGCTTCACCTTGAGCCTTACTTGGAAGCCACCTTCATGTCCTAGTGGAGAGGTTGCTTGGGATGTAAATGAAGTAAGAGTGATGCAGAGCCCCCTAACTTAAATGGGGACACCCCTTCATGCTCTAGGTTCTATGTACACAAAACAGACTGCATTCCAGAGTTTTGATTTGTCACAGAAAGCATAGAGGCCTGCTGAGTTTCTGCAGAGCTTCCCTTAAGCCAAGAATTCTGACACACACACATACATACATCTCACTTACCATGTAGAACTGCAGTCGATAATGCTTCTTGACCAGACTCAGTACAAACATGCAGAATCCTAGTGCGAGGAGGAGAAAGGGCAAAATGAATCACACTCTGCATTATCTTTGTCCTAATCATTTCCTTTAGATGTGTCAAATGGTCTTTTGGCCAATTTCCAAGCAGTGCACAATTCCAAAGCCCAGGGGAATAAACCCCTTATTCCAGTAAGAGTCAGAAGCAAAAATGGACTCCTTCAAGACAATCAAAGGAAGGCAATATTTTTAAATCTTGCAGACTACACTCAATTTAGAACACTGTTCACCAGATAGGAACATTTTGATCCTAGAGCAGGGGTCAACCAACAAAGTTCAGGCCAGCCACCTGTTTTTATAAATAAAATTTTACTGAAACACAGCCCGTTTGTTTACATATTATCTGGGGTTCTCCTTTCATGCTCAAGGGCAGAACAGAAGAGTTGCAACAAAGAGCCTATGGCCCTCAAAGCCTAAAATATTATCTAGACCTTTAAGAAAAAGTTTGCTGACCCCTGTCCTAAATTATAGGTTTGTCTAAGGGGCGGATCTACCAAGTATGGAGTCAGGGCCTTACATCTCTCACACTGACCCACATGGTGGCAAAATAAAAATAAAAATAAAACCTGCAGGCCCCCACACTCCTCCAGGAAGGAAAGAGACTTTTACCCACAGGTGTGGCTGGACCCCTCAAACACAGCCCTGCCCAGAAGACAGCATGTGGCTATTCCAGACCCCTGGCCTCCCTGTGTGGGGGGTGGGGGGGCCCACTCTCAGGGTCTGAGGCGCACTGACTATGCTCAACAGCAACAGACCCCTTGGCGGTGGATTTTCTATTTTAATGGCCAGGTGTCATTCACAGAGCCAAGTATTGCTGTCAAGCTGATCAAAAATAGGTCAGACTGAAATTTAGGTCAGAACAAATTTCTCCCGTGCCTCAAACTGGCTTTGAGGGCAACTATGACAAACACTAGCATTAACACTCAACACTCAGGTAGGACTGAGTTTACACTGACAGCCTCTCACTGTCAACTTTTAATGTATCTGATTAAATCCTCACAGTACCTCTGCTGTTTTGGCTCCCGATTACAAAAGAGACCCAAAGATTAAGCACCCAGCTCCTCTGAAGTCACAGAGCCCTTTTAAACACAGATGGGTAAAATTTCCACCACACTGCAATGTCCCTCATGCGGCTCCTCAGGTGACTCCCCTAAAGATAGCTGCTGGTTTTTGATCACACCGCAGAATCTCTGCCAACAGCAGAGTCGGGACTGGACCATGCTATGCTGTCCTCCCACGGAGGCTGGGACACGAGGACGGGTGGCACAGACTGCAGTCCCCACAGGCACACAAGGCCCTAGGTCCCATTTCTTAGTCAAGAGCTGCTATGACTCAGGTTTAAGGCAGAGCCCTCAGCTCTGCTGCCCTGCACAGTCAGACTTAACATCATCAAAACCGTGCATTCACCAAGAAGTTCCCCAACTTCTACTCAGCAGACATACAAAAACAAGACAAGCACAAGAAGAACCGCTGAGTGCCTACCTATCAGATAGAGAGTAAAGGAAATGAACCGGTGGTATTTACTGAGAATCCGCAAAGGCTCCTCTCTCTGGACCAGAGTGAAGAAGTAATCGGTCACCGTCTCACCATAGAAGAAATAATTTACACACAGTAGAAAGTACCTGTAAATGGAGACAGGTCACTGCCATGGGGAGCACATGCGGCCTCTCCTGTACAGTGGGGCGGTCAGGAAGCCCCGAGGATCAGACCAGCAGCCCACCCGCCCCCTGCGCCCCCTGGGGCAGCTTGCTAGGGACAAGCCGACCATGGTTCCCTGTTCACTGGGGACCCTGTGGCTGAGAAGTTCATCTGGAAATCTGTGGCAGCTTTCACTCACTCTCCATTTATCACAAACTTGGGACTCAGCTTTTGCTTCTTTTGTAAAGTTACCACACCTGATCTAAGAACACTCCAACAGTAAGATGACTTTCCAGAGAGTGGCTCATCCCGCCTCCCTGTCCTATTTCCACTCTCCCAGGAACCCCGCACACCTATCACAGTGGTTTACTGTGGCTTTGCCACCATCTGCTTCACTCCTGTCTCCCCTGGCCTGGGACATCCTCTTCACTTACCCATTTTGTCACCCGTTGCTCAAATACCATTGTCTTCATAAAACCTTGCACAACCTAACGTGGTACCTGCCTCCCCCCATGTTTATTTCTTTAATATGCAGCATTTGGTCATTTCACTAAGCAATTAATTATGCTCTGTCTCAGAGTATCTCCCTCCCGAAGCCTGTCTCTGACAAATAAACCTTTCACCAGCATTAATTCTTCATTTGTTTATAACCTGCCTCCTCCACTGGAGCTCTGGGAAGGGAGAAGCCATGCTCATATACCTTTGCAGCCTCAGTGGTGCTTTGGAGCGTGGGAGCAAGCAGGCCTACTCCAAATACTCAACTGGATCCTGAGGTAGGAAAGAGAATGGAGAGCTTCTCTCTTCCATTTTCTTTCTTTCTTTTTTTTTTTTTTTTTTCAGTTGTGGAGGTTCAAGAACTCTCACATTGGATTTGTTTTCTGTTACATGAAAAACACTCCCTTTGGTCAGTGACCACAATCAAAGGTCAGACATCCTGAGTGTATTAGCAAAATTTAAAATACTGCTTGCCAGCTACAGAACAGCCACAAGAGATACCTATACTTTAACCCAGGTGGCAAGCACAGGCCCATGTGGAGACCACGGGGCAGCATGAATGGCTGGCTGGTGGGGAAGCAACTCTGGGAAGGATGTGTCCAGCCCAAGTCTGAGCACGTCAGCTCCCTTGGCCATGATCAAGTTGCTGAGACCTGAAACACTCCTCTCAGGCTGCTAAGTCATGGAACCAATCCCTGCATCCCAGCACAGAAGGTGAGAAGGGTCCATATTTGCCCCAAGTCCTCTTGGCACCACGCAGAGCTCTGCTCACGTGTCCCCTGAGGACACTGCAGCCAATAAAGCAGAGTGTCAGACCAGAAAGGGATCTCAGACATCACCTGGGTTACAGGTTTTGATTTTGTTTCTGCTTGAAGGCAGCTGAGCCCTTTTCTTGGAAAGAGGTAACAGAGCTTCTCTGAGGAGCCCAGATCCTCTGCATTCAGGCTCACTCCCGTCCACTCTGGCCCCTAAGGCACCTCCATCCGCGGAATGAGGGCTCCAAAGCCAACTGACTCGGTCTCAACCATCCGTCTCAAGGACGAGGAAACCAAGTTCTAGGGATAGCAACACCAGCACTGACAACCTACAGATGACTCTCACGGGACACTGGGATACAGCATAAAAAATATGCTGGTCTAGAAGTGGGGGCCACTGTGCAAAGTCTGATGAATCCAAATACCAAGGCAAACGTGCTCACAGATGCACTCAGTGTGGGAGATTCAAGACCCCAGGCAACTACTAAACACCCCTCACAGGCCAGCCACATAAAATACTTGGGTCTTAAAGGTGCTATGTGAGTCAGTGGCCATCACTCCCCACCTACCCACCATGACTGTAAATACCTACCACAAAACGCTTGTCATCCAAATCTGCTAAGGGCCCCTGTGGGGCTAGAGGGCTTACCAGCTGAGGGTTCTGAACCAGGGCAGGTCATAGGAGTGGTAGACGTTGTAGCCAATAGTGATAATCTCATGGAAACACTTAATCTGAACACACATCACCTGCAAGACACAAAAGAATCAGAATACTTGCTAATTCCCCGGTTCTTACCATCTTTGGAAACAGAAACCCACACACGGGTCACAGGCCTTGAAGAAAAACTATCAAATGTCAGTCCTACAGTGACTCTGCTCTCCTCCTCCTTTCTCACTCACTCTGCACCCCTTTGGCAGTGCAGTCCTTTATGTCACACAGAGTAGATCCAAGAAATATGCACCCCTGAAGCTTCAATTAACTTTTTATTGTTGTACCTCCCTGGACTCAATCACTCTCTTCCCCTTTTGACTTTGAATAGAAATACCTGAAAAGCCCCAACTGCTTTGTTCAGCAGTCAGCCGCTAGTCATCTGACCCTGTCCATGACAGCAGGAAGCCTAAGAGAGCAGTGCTGCGGACTGGGATTTTTTAAATCAAAGTCCTAAGCCCCACAGTGAGGCCCCAGGGAAACAAGAAACAAAACAGAGAGTCACACAGAGTCATAGCCGGGGTCACAGGCTAATCAAACAGCTAAAATAATAATATCCACTTTTAAAACGAAGAGGTATCTTTAACCACACACAACTGGCTGGTGCCAACACCCCTCCGGTTGGCTCCTAGAAGGGGAGAAGTCAGATACTCTAAGGCAGATGTGGTCTGAGGAGCCGGGACTCCCACTGATTCCCAGAACCAACCCAACACCTTACACTTAAGATTACAGATCCTGTGGGAAAAACTGAAGGCAAAACTAAAACAGCATGCAAATGGCACTTACAATGATCATTAAAACCATTGGTCCCAGGTAAATAATGATGAAGAAAAATGCAATCATGGCCAAAGTCAGGATGCCTCTCACCCACCAGTTCTTCCATCTAAGAGAAGAGGGGAAGGAGAAAACACGTTAGGAACCCGGAAAGAAACAAAGCACAAACCCAAGGGGGATGGCTCTTTCTGGGAGGAGAGGTCAATCCCTTCCAGGAGCACCTCCTTCACCTTGACAGAGGTACTAGCCCAAATGCAGGCAGAAGTAGGGCAAATAGGGCCATCACGCTATTTGCCCTACACCCAAACCAAACTCAGCAGGTGCTCCAAGGCCTACAGAAAAATACACCCAGCTTATATCTTAACAAAGGAATCAGGCAAAAGTCCCGAGGGAAATGTGGTACCTACTTCTGCATCTACTTGGATGGCTTCTATGGCTCCCTATCCAAAGAAAAAACAAAGCACATTTTTCCGGCAGCAGAATCCTACATCACTCTGCCACTGCACCTTTATGGTGAGAACAACATTAACCAACGAAAATAACAATCACAAAGATGCATCTGGCACTTTTAAAAGGACTCGGCATATATTAATGCATGTAAGCCTCAACACTACTAATGTTTACAGATGAGGAAATGGATGCACAAATCATACAACTGTGACGTGGTCAAACTGAGATTTGAAGCCTGGGAGTCTGGCTCCAGAACCCATGCCCTTGACCACTGCACAATACCACCTTTCAAAGAGACACATGTGTGCGAGACACACACAGAAACACCTTCAGATAATGTTTTCGGGTCTTAATGTTTGCATTTTTAATCTGCTCACACAGCCAGTGTTGGAGGACCAAAGTCTCAAGGGACTAATATTTTAACCCTGGATTCACCAAGTTGAGATTTCTCAATTCTTCTGGGAGAATTTAAGGAATGTCCACAATGGATGTGTGTGGGAGAAGGAAGACTAAACTTTGACCTAGAAACTTGGGCTCCTCTGTGAAAAGCAGCCCGTCTATTAGTCACAAACCCCTTCACATGTGGCGTCAGCAACCTTGCCCACCACCACCCCTTTGTCTACACTTTCCTCCTCCTCGGACTACTATACCTCTCAGCCCCGCCGACAGCTCCCTTCAAGGCCCAGATCCTTCTAGGCTGTGCTCATAGTTGCCGGTAAATACTAGATTACATTCAGTGGAGCCCTGAGCAGAAGCAGGGAGACCGTGGCCACTGCCGCCAGGCAGGCCCACCCTGCACACTGTCATAGCAGCAGGCTCACGTCACAAGCCCGCAGGCTGTCTGAGGGCTCTGGGTCTTCCACGGCCCTCGGACCTGGAGCAAGGCCCCCACAAGTATCTGCATCATGAAGCCAGGTTACCTTGAAGACAAGTTGGAAAGGGCCCTGTTGAGGACCTCTGGGGTATCATCTGCAGAGGTTGATAAAGGAGCAGCTTCCGCTCGGCTCTCACTGTCCGATGCAGTCTCTCCATCTACCTTTGCTTCTGACTCCGATTCCTACACGGCAGAAAAACAGATGGGGAAAAGGTCAAAAACGCCCAGTAGGATACTGAGAAGTACATGCCTGTCATAGGAAATCTGTGGGAAAAGACCCCGCAACAAGGCCTGAGGACCTGGCACAGTCAGGTGACAGAACAGATGGGACTCACAGCGATCCCGACACTGTTCTGACATGTGCCGAGGTGGCCAACTCTCTGCTGGAAGCGAGGCATGCATCTGTACCATGGGGGAATGAGGAACAGCCACAATCTGCTCAATCCCCCTTGCCTTACCGGGGGCAGGGGAGGGAACAGTCCAGAGGAGGGAGAAAGGGGCTCTTTTGTATCCAAAGCAAAAGGGGAGGCAGGCCTGAAATGCATCAGGACCTCATTCCTGACCCTGCCCTGCTGCCAGGCTTAGTGCCTAGAAGGGTTTGGCTGCTGGCACCCGAAAGATGCACCCACCTCTAAAAACCCCTTTCCACCAACACCTAAATCATACAGCAAAGTCCCTGCTCTGCCACAACATGTTTGGACGCTCAGTGCTCCCAAAGTGGCCTGTGACTTTGGCTAGGCTCTCAGAGAAAAGCTGGGTGTGCAGGCTGTTGTCCCCACGGGACTCCCCAAAGTCCACAGTGTTACTTCCAGACTCCACAAGAGCACCCCACGAGGACGCCAGCCCCAGGCAGTGTGGAAGCCACACAGTACTGCTTACTAGAGTCAAGGCTTCACCAGGTCTGGGGTGCCGCTGTCCTTTCCCTGCCACGCAGCCCTGGGCACCATCGGACCCTGCGATGTCACCCACAAAGTGGCCATCCAGCCTCCGGCCACGTCAGAAACTCACCCTGCTTGCCAGCCCCTGCGAGGGGACCAGAGTCATGCCAGCAATAGGCTCTCTAACCAAAGTACCAAGGGCAGGCTGCTCTAAATCCTAGGACCTTACTACTCAGAGCATTTATCTCTCAGGAATTTAGAGCCACTGCTGTTGGGAAGAGATGGAAGAGAAATCCAATCACTTCGAATTAGAGTCAAACAATACTGCTTTGTATTTGCAGAGCTCTCAAGAGCTGTAAGAATGTTTCCCATACCTGTTGTGAACCTCAGAGAAGCTCTGGAAGGAAGGGAAAGGAGACAGGAAGATCCTTATTTACAAATGAAGAGACAGAGGCTCTGCGAAATTCCATGGTGGGCCCCAAATCTCCTATTAACCCAGGTCTTCTGACTTCTCTGTGTTCATCCCACTAGATTTCCTTTTACTTAAGCATCTTGGAATCCACTGTTTTTCTGACACCCGATACTTTATTAGTGAGGAGGCTTGGTTTGGAGAAGGGGTGCAGCTGGGATGGACAAGAAGCTCCCATCTCAGGGGATTTTCCTGGACCTCAGGTGTTCCTCCACGCAGATTTCGAGGAAACACTGTCATGGATGAAATCCCGAGAGGGCAGCACTGTGACTGCCAGGCAGCAGAGAGGAGGGGCACCCTAGCACAGCTGGACCCCTGGGGCACCCTAGCACAGCAGGGCTTCAAAGTCAGGCTGGATGTCGATGGCTGGAATGCGGGGGCTGGACTGTGCACAGGCACGCCGTCTGGGCCCACCATGATGTTCCAGGTGACGTCACTGCGGCAAACTGGAGACCAGGTGATGAATTTAGGGTCGGTCATGAGCGCAGTGGCACAGTCACTGGGGGCAGGTAGAGCAGGAAGGTGAAGAGGAGGTGCACCTGCATGCCCTTCACCTCACACTTCTCAAAAAGGACGAAGGTGGGCTCGAACCCACCGCCGGGTTAGATGTACTTGAGGGAATTAAGGATGTCTTTGTTCCTGGCATTCTCTCGATGCCTGAACTGGTGGCACGAGAAGCTGCTGCAGTGTGTTCATCTGGGTGTAGTCCAGACCCCCGTGCTTCAGTGAGCGGCACCTGAGCCCGCAGGGAGCTGCAGGGCACCCAGGCTCCTGGGCCCACCCACTGGCCAGCGCATGCGGAGAGGGTGGACCCGGAGTGTGGGAATGCGGGGCCGCAGCGAACACAGCAGTGAGGAGCTCAGGCTGGGGACCCCATCTTACTTTTCGGTAAGAAATTCAGAATGAAGTAAACTAGAAATGGCAAAGGGATTTTTCACCACATCTTCAAAGATTTCATTATATATGTGTGCGAACACAAAAAACGGTCACTTTTTTTTTAGGTTGAATAATTTGAATTTCTCTAAGAAGTACATGAAATCCAGCACCATTTCATGTTTATTGGTTGTTTGGATATCTTCTTTTGTAAAGTGTCTATCAAGTCACTGACCATTTTTCTACTGAGTTTTCTGCCTTCCTTTGGATTGGTAGGAGCGTCTCATACATCCCAGCCTTAAGTACACTGTGTCGCTAACATGTTCTCCCAGCCTCCTCTAGCCCCACCCCTATCCCAGTCACTCCTCCTCCTAACCTTCGCCCTCTGGGCACTGGCCACAACGCAGACTGACGGGGAGATTTCTGTAATCGTCTGTTGTTCCCGAAAGACAAGGACCACCTTTTTCTCATGACCTCCCCATGCCTGGGTACAGAGCAAAATACTTACTAATGGACGGAAAAATGATGGAGAGAGGAAGCCAGGAATTAATTCTAGGTGTGGTAAAGAGCTACCCAGCCCCTGAACTCAGGGAAATAATAGCTCTTTCTATACTAACTTACAACTGTGATAACACCACAAAACAGAGGGCTTTAACTAGTGTAAGACTGCTAATAAGGGGCTTTGGTGAAGGACCTATCCAGATGACCTCATCAGTAGGATGTGAGGCAAGAGCCTTAGCTTCTGATGACAGGGTCACTGTTCCTTATGCTGCCACAGCTCAGCCAGGGGGCTCTGGACAAGTCACACAAGTGCCTCTGTAGTGCAGTGTCCTCACCATATCAAATGGGCCCAGAAAGAGTCCTCCTTCCCCAAAGAGATACAGCCAAACTCCCATCCAAGGCTCTGACCTATTCCAGCACCCTGAGAGGTTCTGAAACACAGCAATGCCTCTGGGATTATCCCTCTCCAGTTAGAGTGAATGAAGACTGAGGCATTCAGAAAAGCTTTCCATCCTTTATGGTAACATTAATACCCATACCCCAGCGGCAACCGTCAGGGCTATGAAGTAACAGTGCTGCAGGATTATCTAGATCTGACGCCTAACCCAAGGAGCTTCAGCATGTGAGCACCTGGGCCCCTTCAAGGCCTCCCACAGATGCTCACCAGGAGCATCAGGAAGCCACAGGGACAGAGTTGGAGCCCAGCAGGGGAGAGGGCATGTATCCAGCCACAAGCATATGTACACACACACACACGCGCGCGCGTGCCCCAGCACAAGGTTATTTTTAACTTATCCATCCTGTTGTCAAGGAGACTCACAAAGGCTGCTGGTTTCCCCAGGCGAGGAAGGGCAGGAAGGAGCCCAGGCAGAGTGCCTGCAGGGGAGGAGCAGGGAGCTCCAGCTCGGTGCTGAGCCTCTCTGGCCCTTCCACGTCCTTTTATGAGCCTTAGCCCAGCACTGTGTCCTACAATATCACCCTATCCGACTCCTGTCCTTCCTTGCTAGAAGGGGTGAAGGGAAGAGAGGTATCCTGAGGCAGAAAGTAGTACAAGAGATAGAGAACCATCTATAGTTCTAGATGCTATAAGGGCTGTTTGGGTGGCGCAGTCAGGTAAGTGGCCAACTCTTGATTTCGGCTCAGGTCATGATCTCGAGGTCCTGGGATCGAGCCCTGCATTGGACTCCACACTCAATGGGGAGTCAGCTTCTCTCCCTCGGCCTCTCTCTCTCAAATCTTAAAAAAACAAAAAACAAAAACAAAAAAACCCTCTATTACCAAGATATCAAGGAGCTTGAGATGAACAACTAAGAAATGAAGTAAATACCCTAAAGAAACAAGCCTTGACAGAGATTAACTTTCTAGGTTTTAACTGCCCCTTAAGCAAGTAACCCCAGGGTCCTGGGCCTGACGCAGGTCACTGAATAAGCATCCCCCGAGCCCTTACCTGGAGGCACCCCCCAAGCAGGAGACCAGCACCTACCCAGACAACCACTCCCTCACAAGCTACAATGGTACCCAACACGGAGGAAGGGCAAATCCTTGTGCAAGGGGCAAGGACACAGCCCAGAAAACATGGACAGGGAACAGGCAAAACAGCCGGCTCTCTGGGCTCCTGACCCCCAGTCCCCTGCTCCCCAAACCCCGGGTGTAGATGTCACAAGAGAACAGGCCAAGGGAACAGAAAGTGAAGAGAACTTGGAGGCTTATGGTGTTCGGACTCCTTCCCACCCCATGGGAAAAGGCCTTTCACTTGGACTGCTAGGACTTCCTCTTCGGCTGCCTATGCCTGAGTAAAAGCAGCCAAGTGCAAGCGGCAGCTTCCATCGTGGGCAGGGATGCCGAGGGGCCAGGGGCCTGGAGCCCAAGTTCTTGCCCAGAAGAAAAGTGGCACATGCCAGACCAAGAGTCAGAGGTGCTGACTGGTTTGCTCCTCCAGGGGATGGCAAGATTGGCAGACGCAGAGGATGACCTTCTGCAGGAGGAGGCAGAGGCCAGTCAGGGAGAGCAGGGCCCAGGGCCCAGCTCTGATGCTCACCACACTCCCCGGAGGCCTCCGATCTCTGGTGTTCCCAGTGGAGAAAGGATCCCTTATCCTGGACGGCTGTTGGAATGATCAAATGCCACACCGATGAAAGTCTGTGAAAACTATAAAGGGGCTGAAGAGCAACACTACCACCCCCACCCCTCAGTATCCTGACCACAGCACACAGGACAGCAGCACAGGAACCTTAACCACCCCCCTCTCCAGGCAACCAGGGCACCCTTCCCAAGGAGGGCGGAGTGGGAAGAACGGCGGCCATCAGGACCTGCTGGGGCCCATGTGCTCACCAATTATGTGAGCTCGGCATCGGCCTGCCTGCTTCCTCTTTCATGCCTTCCATTCATCCAATAGATAGCCCCCCAACTCAAAAACGATCCACTCCCCAAAGCTACTGCGGAACAGGGAGGTCTGACACACA